TACCAGAAATCAAATAATTACAGGCTATTTGATATTTTGTTCAGCCTATTAAACAATATAATTTGCCTTGTTTAATATTTAGCATTGTACATATCTATTTGTAGTTCTGATTCCTAACTCAATATTCTGAACAATCTAATTTGATAATAGATTATTAATGCAGGGTTTTTTCTTTTTTTCTGTAAAAGAAAATCAACAAGTTTATAAGCTGTCTTATTTCCTAATCACAGAAGTATAAAAAGTTTAAAATAGTATTCCATGATCAGGAATTAATGCAGGTGTCTCTCTTTAGATATGAATGAAAGTTGATATGATTGGATCTTTGTTCTTTTTATGACATAAAAAGCTAATAATTTATTCATTGATTACAATCATTAAGAAGTGTGTTATAATAAATGTGAGAAAGACATTAGTAAATTCTGTTCAAGTAGATGTGATCAGGAAAACTCAGCTCAATGTGTAGTTAAATCACAAGTAGGAAATGCCTGAAAATATTAATACAAACCACTCAATGATACAAACAATGTTGGAAACATTTTTCAACCCATGACAATGTATGTATTTGGCTTTTGGGGGGGCGTTTTCTTACTATTCAAGTTGTTTTAGTGACATATGAACTAATATTTGAAGGTCATAATCAAGAAATATTCCATAAGTCAAATTTTACTAGAATACTCATCTAAATGGAAATGCCTTCTATTCTTAAAAAGCTAGTCCTGGCTCTCCCTGGTGGTGTAGCAGGTTAAAGCACAGACTAAGGATCTAAAGCCACTTCAGCATGAGTTCAATCGCCACCTGCCCCGGAGGTGATCCACAAGGCGCAACAGACCTCTCCTGACACGCCTGCTGCTCCCCTCAGCAATGTACTTTGTTGATCTGCCTGTTCTGCTCCCTGCTCTGTTTCTGGTGAATTCTTTCACCACACCTGCACCTCTGGCCTTTACCCCAGTTCTGTATGCATAAATAAATAAATCTTAAAATTATAAAAAAAAAACAAGCTAATACTTAGAAACAAATGTTTATATACAGAGGAATGGTTCCAAAATATGATAAAAATTTTTGAGAGAATTGTCATAAAACAAAGTAAGTGTAACTGGCAACATCTCATTGAGAGGGTCACTTTATTCAAGTGTGCTCCTTTCAGCACAACTTCAAAATGAAAACAGGCTAGAAAATATCTTCTAGTTTAATAACAAAAAAAAATCAGCATTTAAAAAAGTTAGTCAATATTTATTGGTGCAATATTTCTCAGTTTATCTCCTAATATAAAACTCTTAATTTTTATTCAAATGGAAGCATTTTCCAACTGACCCACCATAGTTGTGTGTGAGGAATTAGGAAGAATGGCAATGCCCATTCTCTGTTCACAGGTAGAACACAGATTATTTTATATCTTTTCTTCCCACTGTCCCTGCAATGCAATCTCTTTTCCACACAAGTAAAATGTTAGCATCTAGCTCCCTCACAGAGCTGTCTAATTTAGACCAGATAATGAGACAGGACATATTTAGGTATAAATAACCCCTATATAACAAAGTGTCATCTTTTGGAAGATATAAATATATAAAGAAAAGCATTAATGTAACAGCAATGGTAAGCATTATGTTTTGTATTAACCATGCTGTCTTAGTGTTACATCGAACATCTGCAAATATTCAATTTTTTCCTCATGGATTTCAACTTGTTTTATTGATAAAGTATTACTAATGCTGGAGCTTTTCAGAAGTATTACTTATTCTGTGACTTATGTGTTGAATTTTACCAACTGATTTTAAGGATAGCCTATTCTCTTTTATAAATGCAAAATTTGCAAATTTTGCTGCTAATTGCTATTTAAAATGATGACTCAGGAATGTCAATATTTTTAGTGTGATTTTCTTCTTCACAACACAAAAACCTGGAGGCTAGTTCCCAGGACAGGTGAGAAGTTACCCCACTTGTCAGTACCCCAGGTCCCTTCATTCTGTAGCAGTGTGACATTGCTGCCCCACTCTCTGCTCAGCCTGCCCCCAGATTCCCCTCCATGTACCTCTTCCATATACATTCCTCATAAAGCTGTTGCTCCCACTTTTCTATTTCTGTGAGATTCTTGCCCTTTCTTTCTGTAGAACCATGAGGAAAGAGAGAAAATTTCATCAGATCTGTGCTGGCTAGGGAGATGTTGCATTTCTGTTTTTGAGCCCACTGTTCAGTTCTCTGGTTATAGAATACCTCTTCTCTAGTGGAAATCCATTCTGCGAGGTTGGTGAAAAACTAAATCTTTCTGACTGCTCCCCGCTGATGCACAGATGGAGCTAGAGAGAACACACAATGGGGAACTGGCTAATTGGTGTATCACACCCCTTAATTATAACTGATTTAGGGATATGGAAATTAGAGCCCCTCTCTTGGATATACGGGTGCAGTGAAAAGAGAGTCTTATTTCCCTGTGATAATGTGAGCTGTATGGAACATGTCACACTGAAACTTCCAGTACTGTTACAGGGCACCCCAATGGGAACTGGGTTGTCTGGTGTGGGTCCTCACCTGCACACTTAAGATTCAAATGTACTGCGGACACTCACAAAAAGGGTCAATAATGGGTATATTTACAAGTGGAAAGGGAAAAGAACAACCCAGAGAAAGAGAGAGAGATACAAGTTAACTGGAAGGAACATCCTACCAGTTCTGCTAACTTGGAACCCCAACAGCACACTGAAAGCAGGTCACGAGCCAAAAGACCAGCCTCCAACCGCAAGGCCATGGGAGAGAGAGAGAGACCAGCCATGAACCACCAGGCCAAGAGACGCCCATATCCCAACCTGGCTGCTCAGCTCCACCCTCAGGTCCCAATGTGATTCTCATTGATATTGATGGGATTTGTAGTTCCAGTATCTGGGGTGGGGGTGGAGTCTATGAAAACTGTAATTGTTACAGTACCACTGTTAGAAAAAGATTGCTGAGAAATGAAGGCAGCACAGAAACACAAGAATAAAGAAATGAGAGTGAAAACGAGATCTAGCATGATCATTTGGGCACTGAAACTGTCTGCTCCTCACCTACCTAATCATCCCCTCCTTGTTCTGCAGGTGAAGCGCCCGTGCTCATGAGCCAGCATCCAGGTGTGGCCCCTGTGGAGCAGGAAGGAAGCAGCCCTTTCCTGGACCAATTACATACCCACAATCATCAGAGAGATCAATCATCGATGAGGAAGAAAACTGTTTTTGAGGAATGAATAAATTCTAGGTTTGGAGAAGCAAATAAAGCCGGTGGATTATGCATAACGAAAGCCCTGTATCACTATGCTAGAATAAGCTGACAGTACGAGCCCTGTCCTTGCACCTGCTTGGTCTCATTCATCTGTGAGGTATCAGTTGACTGTGGGAAGCAGCCCACAGAAAATCACAGAAGCCAACAATTGTAGAATTGAAAGACACCATAGAAATAGCAGCATCCAGTATTTTTGTGTAAGGCTGATTGAGCATAGCAATTATTATATTAACAACCTCTACAGATTACTAATTATAGTGTATAATTCTGTGGTAGATATTCTTCTTGCCACTAATTTAGATCATAATGTGAAAAAGATAATATCTTGTAAAAGATCACACAAAATCTAAATGGAGCTGGGGTTTAAAACCAGGCCAAAAAAAAAGCAGTTTTGAAAGAACTACTTAGGAGGAGAGGTGTGTAGACCATTTTTTGTTGTTATTAACAACAAATTGAAAATTTAAACTTGTATTTTTAAAAGTTGAGATCTGAAAATTTTGACCCAGAAGAAAAAATGGAAATAATGTCTGTCACACGAAGTAGTAGCCAGGACCAATAAAGTTTGAATCAACAATAAATACAGATCTTTTTGAATAAGTGGCATCTCACACTAATTTATGCTTCCAAATACTATGCATATCCTTAGCTACTGTTTTTCTTAGGTTTCAAGCATCAAAAGTGTACCTCTTTTAACTCTGTTCAGAATATAGCATAGTTCTTGGCATAAGCATGAATGATTATCTTTTCAAGCCCCAATTAGTGAAAGGTATCAATGATCATATTTGCCATAGTTATCACTAGTTTTCACAATCCTGGGAGTCACCTGCCGTAATGTATAGTGCCACAAGTTTAATCATAGAGAGAAGATATCATAATGCCTAAAATTTACTGCATATTGAGTTTTCTCTTCTGTCAAAATATATTTGGAATTCCTTAGGAAATAAATTTCTAATTGCATTCCAGATCCTAATTCTTGCAATAAAAAATAAAGTATCCAGCCCAACCAAAGACCAAAACAACTGTCTCCTTAATTTTTTTCCAATTTATTTTTGTCCCTATTTTATTAAACAGCCTAAATGATACACCAAAAGGAATCTCATAACAAACAAGCTCCAATAAATTATGAAATTGAGCCAGTAATTAAAGATAGACAACAAGAAATTTGCTATATTAAATGCGAACAGGACCAGCCTTTTAACTTCTCTTCCTCAGTTTTTCTACTTCTAACAAAAAAAAAAAAAAAATCCTCATCTTGTCCAGACACTGGTTTTTAAATTGCTCTTGGCTTGTAAAGACAAATGCCATGAGGTTTAGGAACAGATAATTTATTGCAATGATGTGGTTTTATTGTATTGGGAATAGGACCAAGACAGCTGCTTATGTTTCTAGGTTGCTTATTTCATTATTTTTTATCAGAGGAGGAAAGTTTTACTTTGAATTTTGTACAGTGAAAATATGTTTTTCATGGGAGAGAACTTTATAATATTGATTCTGGGATCTTGACAGCAATATTGTGGAAACAAGGTGATTTTCTTAAGTAATTGATAGGTTTGGGAAATGAAGATCATAGTTTAGATTTTTGCATGTTTTGTTACTTTACATCAATCATCCACAAAATTGTCATGAGTGGAAAGTTAGAGCAATCATTTTAGTTTTGTTAAAGTATCACAGAAACCAATAAAGAATAAATGATTTACCACAGTAGCCGACTGTTGTGATATTTAGCAGGCATGATATTTATTATATTGCAAGGCACAAAATCATATATACAATAAATAAGTATCTGCTTTTAAAAGTACACAATGTAAATATTATACATTATCATAAAGAATATATGAACACACTCTTGTATTAGAGATGAAAACCACCCTATTGCGTGCAGGTTTATGCCTTTCAGGAATGGAATTTCCATATTTACATTGAATCTTGCATCACTTTCTGCTTAGAAAATAAATATTATTTAATAGTTGACTATATACAGCCTTCTCCAAGTTTTCGCCCATAGACGTTCTAAGTTAGTCAATTAATATATTAATTAATTTATTATATCCCAGTATTCAAAACAGCTCTAATTTTTCTGATAAGTTATTCAAATTTAAGTTTTATTTCTCAATAATACAACATTGGATACAACCATTTTCTTAAAATTCATGAACATAAACTTTGATTAACAAAAAAACCTCTTTCCAAACCATGCTTCCTTTTAGTTTTGAGGATGGAATTTTGATAAACTCTCTGAATAGTAAATGAGCATTCCTAAAAGTATTCTCAGACTCTAAATGTGTGTCCTTTTTAGAACTCTGAGTTTCCATTCTCATTGCTCCCTCCTGCATGGCTGTTTCACATGTCTTTATTTATTTATTTATTTATTTGACCCCAGCTCACGATTAACTATGAAGAGATGTAGCATAGTCAGACATGAGTAGCATCAATATGAGGATATGGGTGCTAATTTAAAGAAAACACATTACTATAAATCCATTCCATAATTGTAGCTCTTATATTTTTGAATGAGTGAAGGAATCTTCAAGAAAAATCTCCTGGGTTTTACTGTTTCATAAAGAGATTTTTTTTATATTTCACACATCAGCAGGGTTTGTTCCTGACACCACTTTGTCTGTAGCCATCTCTACTGCGTAGGAGTCAGAATTTTTAAACACGATGTGTATGCTAACCAATATTTAAGTCATTCCCATCTACATTACAAGGCCACCTAAAAATATCAATGAAATTTAAGACATGCTACAGGAAAATGAAAAGAGGACTTCATTTTCATTAGGAAAATCTCTGCCATGGTGCTTTAAGTAATCAGTGTTAGCTGCCATAAAAATGTGGAATGCAGACAAAATCATAGTAAAATTTTTAGCTACCTGTAAAACCTCAAAGAAAACTTTGGTTAAGAGAGTAATTATAGAAGATAAATTACACAGTGAATAGAATTTACATATGTAGTTATATCTATAGTAACATATATGCTTACAGAAGAGATGATTGTTATTTCTCAATGATCTCTTTCTTTTATCCAGATAATTACAGCAAAAAGCCATTACCTCTAGAACCATAAGTTCCAATGGAGAGAATGGCAAATTTTGTATCATCTGGAAGTATTAGCCAAATTACCCAAAATGTGCTGGACATGGCATTATCCCCTAGAGTGGTGCTCTTCTCAGAACAAAATACCAGGTATGTCCAAGCATCGTGAGTGACATAATGTCTCCATTTAGCCCACAGTTAGGAATGAATGTATTTCTTAAAAGCTGTAAAATAATATCGCAAGATTCAAATGAGCAAAAATAGAAAGAATATAGTAAAAAAAAACACCTATCTATAAAGAGATGCTGTGCATAAGCTGCACACAGATTTTGCAGTGCTACAACCTGGAGTGAATTAAAGATTTCTTGATTCATTAACATGTAAGTTATGAGCACTGGGAAAGAAGCACTGGGAAGGGATGGGAAGGTCAGGAATGTCTTGATTTCAACTCGATTTCACTAATGGTGTCCCCTCGGGAGGCTTTCTGCTAGAAGGTAAGTCATTCTTTATTTACACACATATATTTTTACAGATGCAATTATATATGTATATACATGTGTGCATATATATGTATACACACACAATTATGTGATATTTAAAATACTTTATATGTCTTGACATTAAGACATACTTTAGTACAAGAGTATGTATCTAGCATGCTTGAACAAGCTGTACTTTTCAAGAAAGTAAAGTATGTTGGGAATCATAAATAGCAAAATAATTTTTATTATACATCAACATCAGAAATCTCAATATGGGTCTAAGTTATAATAAAAGTGGAATTCTCATCACACAGCCACATGAAATTCAAGTCTATAGATAGAGGGAAAAAAAAGAACTGAGCATGGAGCCTGGAAATGGTTCTTGTTCTTATTAAATTGTTGTTATCACTGGTAAATATCTGAATTGGATGTCCACTAAGCTCTTAAACTATTTTAAAAAATTCCATTTTTGTAAATGGAGCTTTTAAAATCACATTGCATAGAAAGACCACAACAGATGGGTCTTGAACTAAATCTTAGTAACCACAGGAAATGGCTGTTTCTTTGTTCATAAAGGAAACTGGGAGTCAGTCTTGATTCCCTGACTAGTAATTGCCTGCTCCAATCTTCTGTACTCCATTCCTACATCCTTGATGCTTCCACTGACCTAATTTCTAATGCAACCTGTGTTGCATGACTTCAGATCTTCAGATTTCTAAAAGTTTGTTTAAAATTCTTACTTTCCATCTCAGACTGCGGTAGTAATCTGAGTTAAACCTAAATCATTGAACTCTTCTCTTCCTGGAGAACTATAAGAAGTCATCTCCACGACTAGTCATACTGGCTTATTTATTCCATCAACATCTTTCATGTAAGCAGGATCTTGCACTGTATTTCTGACTCTACTAGTGCTCTGTCGCTCCATCCTCATTTTAATTGGAAAGCAGAAGTCCCTGAAACACCGCTTGAAGTTTTCATCTAGAAAGGCATAGAGAATGGGATTGAGACTGCTGTTGGTATAACCTAGAGCAATGCAAAAGTAATAGCTGGAGAGGGCAGCTGTGCTGTGAGAGGTGCTCCCTAGAGCCTCCACAAGGATGAAAATGTGAATGGGGGTCCAACAGATAATGAATACTGCCACCACTACCAGGACGAGCCTGGTGATCCGACGCAAGTTGCGGTCTTTTTCTCGGGAGCCAGAAAGAAGCCGGACACTCTTTAAGCGTAGAATCATCAGGGTGTAGCAGATGATGATGATGATGACAGGAATCACAAAGGCAAAGATAAAGACACAGATCTTCATGAAGAGGTCCCACCAGGAGTAGTCATCATCGGGAAACTGCAAGGAGCACTCAATGACATCCATATCTGAGTCGAACACAACAAAGAAAACCATGAAACAGGTACACGATTGGTGGTGCAGCTGGTTAAAGCATAGTATTAAGAAGCTAAAGCCACAGGTGACCCACACCCACATATAATTAAGAAGCCCCCACAGGTGACCCACATGGCACAGCAGACCTCTCCTGACTTGCCTACTGCTCCCCTCAGCAGTGTACTTTGTTGATCTGCCTGTTCTGCTCCCCACTCTGTCTCTGGTGAAGCCTCTCACAGCCCCTTCACCTCTGGCCTGTATCCCAGTTCTGTATGCACAAATAAATAAATCTTTTAAAAAAAAAGTACAAGATTGTTATTACCCTGGCTGCAAAATGTTTTAAGTGTCAACTTGAATCCCTTTCATTGCAAAGGACCAGCTCATTTATGATGAGCTATTACTTGAAGCAGATCACTTAATCAGGAATGGATGCCATATGGATTAAATTTAACCCTGTCTTTGTGCATAGAACAGGGATGGAAAGTCACCATTTGTTGGAAACATAGGCAATTACTATAGAATGTGAATTATCCAGTTGTGGAAAGTGGTTGATATTGATTATTTTCAGGAAGGCTAAATTGATAATGTGTAGCATTAATGCTTATTTGCATTTCTAGTTATTAACAATTCTCCCAGACTTCAGGATCTGACAATAAAAACTACTATCGATTCACACTTAATGACTAGGTATTTAACCATAATAAAAAGCAGCCTTAACTGAAAAACACTGACTGATTTATAAGAAGTCATGATGTATGACAATGAAAGTTTATATAAAATTTGTCTAAACATGTATCAGGTATTGTAATTTAAACAGAAACACTGTGATTATGTGACATTGCTGAAACATGAAAGAAGGGAGGTAAAGGAGAGGAAGAAAATCTGAGGAGGAAAATTAACATCATTATTATTGTCCTCAAGGAAATTCACAAATAAAGCAGACAATCTTCCTGTTTATCAATATTGACTACATAACTCAAATACAATAAATATGTATGAATATACTTAGAAAATTGCTTTACTAGCTCTACTTATCTTTGCTGGATAAAACTCTCTTCACATTGACTTTAATATTACAAAGAAAAGAGATTAGAAAGAGGAGAGACCTAGGATAAGTAGCTTTCAAAATACTATCATAGAGGACCTGACATCCCAAGGTCTCCTTTCTCAGCAATCAATCAGTCCACACATTTTCTCTTGTTTCTGAAAAACCATTGAGCACAGAGAGGCCAATTTCATTTTGATCTAATCCTTACAGATAAAGTAATCATCACTGATACTACGAATTTGATTTTTATAATAACATGATTTTATGAAGACATTAAGAAAATCTGACACGAAGATAGTATGATTTTTGGGAGAAAAATCCTTTTGTTAAATAAATTACCTTCTTAAAATTTAAACTAGAAACAATTTAAAATACAAGGAATATAATCATTTTGGACAAATAATGATGACTCCCTTAGAGATATTTATTACTTTTATTGAATACCAGGTCAAAACTGAGTAGGAAATAAATTTCTTAGCTATTCTAAAAATTCATTATCCAAATTATTATTACTATTAAGACTATTAGAAATTAATAAGCATCTCTTTTCATTTTCCCTTTACTGTTTATGCTATTAACAACAGTTAACCAAATTATTAAAAATCATCACCATTATCTACAATTGAGATGGAAAAAAAATGTACAAAATGATGTAAAAATAAACTGTTATATAAAAATAAATCACCATTATCAAAGAAAAGCATTTATTAAACAAATTTTGATAGGTGGTACAAGCAAAAGTCTGAATTTCAGAAGTGTTGTCTCCTGGGTTTATCTGTTGAGTCTACTTTCTTTGAAGAGAGGGCATATGTTTTATTTTTTCTGCTTAATTTTTTTTTTTTTTTGCATTTCAACAATGTGTGCTTCTTAGGGTTGATCTCAACTAAACTGCCATTTCAGAGATGCTGATATCAATGTTGATTCTTCCAAACATCCCTCTAACCTGCAACTAATGTTATTTCTACACATTATACTCATCCTACTTAAACTCTAGACAGACTCTTCACTAACATTTTTCTCTCCATCCAGAATGTAAGGTAGCTACCTAATATACCTTAATCAATACTTAATCCCTGCCACAAAGGGTGGATGGAACATATAGTACTTAGTAAGAATAATTTGAAAAATAAGCAAACTAATATCACATAGAAACCCTAAAAAACTGGCATGATTAAAGCTGGTAGTAGACAAGAGTAACCTGTTCAGATTAACAAGGCATCACAAGGGCAGATGTTTAATTTTAACTTCTTTGCATATAGAAGGCATTCAATAACTAATTGATGAACAGATGGAATAATTAACTATAGCCACTTTTATAAGACTGGAAAACATCCAAAGGTAGAATTGTAAATATGTTCCCAAAATGTCAATGCATTTGAATTTACACCACCAAAGAGAAGGTACACAGACAGTCACCATGGAAATTCAAATACAAACACCATTTTTATTAAGTGTTCCTTTTCAGGAGAAAGAATGCATTTTTATATTTAAATATGTGCAAAGACTGACTGTGAAATAATAAAAAGATTTTTCTTGAAAGTGGTAGCAAAAAGAGGACAGTAATGGTCATACTTATATCATACAAACTTTAAAAGCTATGACAAGAGGCAAAGATGGACATTATATAATTATTAAAATGTCAACTTACTAAAAGGATGTAATAATTGTAAGTATGTATATATTAACAGAGATAGAAATACATAGAGGAAACTTTAATATACCACCTTCATTCGGTTAGAAATCATTAAGAAAATACACTTAAACAACAATATGAATAAATATGAACTTGGTAGTGGTAAGAGATTTAAAATATTCAAAGAAAAAGACACACAGCACAGCACACTTTAATCAGCAACATTATCATTAAAGACAGAAGGAAGGGTTACAGACTTCACTGAAAAGCAAAAATTAAGAGCATGTACTCAGTTTTTATGGAAAACAGTATGGAGGTTTCTAAAAATATTAAAAATAGATCCACCATATGATCTACTATTCCACTCCTAAGTATAAAATCCAGTAGTACGAAAACCCTAAATTGAAAGGATATAAGCACATTTATGTTCATTAAAGGTGTATTTACAATAAAAATTTTAAGGGAAGAATTTAAGTTCCCAAAGTCAGATGAATGACTTAAGATGTGGTGTAAATACATAATAGGATACACAGCGATTAAAAAAGTGAAATCCTTTATTTGCGACAAAGTGGATGGAACTGAAGGGGGATTATGCTACGAAAAATAAGTTGAAGGGGAAAAACAAATACCACATATATGTAAACTAGTTTACATATATGTGGACTATAAAAAGAAAGCATAGAAAAACTAAACCAAAGTGAGTGCTAGAAGTCTCGCTACAGAATGAGCACATCAGAAAGGAAACATGTAGTATGGGAAACAAAGTGAAAAGTAGCCAATGGTGATAGGTAGCGAACGATTAATAAGACAATGAAAAAATAGCCTAAACAAAGTACCGATGTCAAAAAATAAAAAAGCAAAGAAAAACTAAAAACAACAAAAAAGAAACATTTATATCTCAATAATTACCTTGAATATAAATGGCTTGAATTCACTGATGATGAGCCATAAAGTGGCTGAGTGGATTTCAAAACAAAGTCTAAACTTATGCTGTTTGCAGGAACTCATCTTACTTAATAAAGACATGTGCAGACAGAGTTAAAGGCTGTAGGACAATCCTACCACCAAATAGCAATTAAAAAAATAATAACTCAGAAAATATGGAATAGCTATACTTATAGCTGATAAAATTTTCTATTTAGAAAGGCAATAAGAGATGGATGGTATATTACTAAGGGCCAAATAAAAAATAACACAGTGCCCTCCCTGGTGGCCAATGGGTTAGGACGCAGCACTGCAAGCTAGCCACAGTTGCCTCAGTGTGAGTTCAATCTCCAGCCCTGGAGGTGACCCACATGGCATGGTACACCTCTCCTGTCTCACCTGCTGCTCCCCTCAGCAGTGAACCTTGTTGATCTGCCTGTTCTGCATCCCACACTGTCTCTGTGAGTTCTCTCACTGTCTCTGCACCTCTGGCCTGTACCCAAGTTCTGTATGTATAAATCAATAAATCTTTTAAAAGTAATTAAAATAAATAAACGAATAAAAATAACATAAATATATCTGCAACAAATGATGGCTGTCCAGGTTTATAAAGCAATTATTAATAGTACTAAAGAGGGATAATAATAACACTACACTAGAGGACTTTAATATTTTAATTACAATTATAGAGATCAATAAGACAAAGAAAATAAAAGCTTTAAAAGAAGTAGATCAAAAAGAATGAACACACAGCTATAAAATACTTCACCAACAACCACTGAATACAATTTTTTTTAAGCTGCTCATACAGTGTTTTCAAGGACAGACTATATATTGAAGCACAAGTCAATTTTCAATAAAATTATGAAGGCCAAAATCACAGCAAGAACTCTTTCTGATCGTAATGCCATTGAGCTAGAAATCAACTATAAAAAAGAGTATGTCTGCAGAGAATAAACAATATGCTATTTAAGAGCTTTTAGATAAAAAGTGGAAATTAAAGCAAAATTGAAAAAATACCTTGAGACTAATGAAAATGAAGATCCAAGCTATCAGTGTTTATGGGATGCAGCAACATTTCTTAAGAAGGAAGATAACTGCAACAGAGGCACACACTAAGAAACAAGAGAAATCCCAAGAAGTTAATATTATACCTAATGCAACTTGAAAAGGAGGAATAAACAAGACCTAGCTAGTAGAAGAGTGGAATTAATAAACAAGCTGAAATACATGATAAAGACCAAAGAACATATAAAAATAATCAAGGAAATTAAGAGTAGATTCATTAAGACAATAAAACTGATATGCATTTAGCTAGGCTGAAAAAGAACATAAGGGAGAACCATTAATAAACAGAATTAGGAATGAAGAAGCTGCCAAAGATGGCA